GTTGACAACGTCAAAAGCGAAGCAAACCTGCGAGACTTCCTTCAAAAATGGAAAGTTGAGTGCAGAGCTGACTGCCTCGTACCAATGCGCTTTGCGATTTCCTGTCTAAAGTATTGCACCTGCCACGAAAAAGTGAAGCCAGGTCATACGAAGTGCTGCACCTGTCACGCAAAATCATCTTCCCAAAACTGAAGATCTGATGCTCCAAAATGCAACCCCTCTCAGGAAATCAGTACCCGGACCTCCTAACATCTCTGATAAACATGTCTCTTGTACTTTTGTACTGAGCCTGCCACGGAAAATGCATCTTTGCAGATCCTCTTCAAATGTCCCACGCCTGCCATGGTTTTTGGAAATGCCACAAAACCACCACGTTTTGCTCATTTTTGACGAGGTGCACAATCCCTTGCGCCTGCCACGCGAAACGACATCTGAACCTCCAAAAGTGGTCCGAACCCCTGGTGTTTTTGAGATTTTGACTTCGAAATGTGCTTCGCGCCACAACAGCGTGCACTTTTTAGACATCTCGACTTCCAAAAGTGGACCGAACGTGAGGTGTTTTTAGCTTTTTCACTTGCAAATGTGCTTCGCGCCACAAGGCGTGGCAATATCGTGCAATTTTTCATCTCTTATCTGGCCAGCTGGCCTCGCACCCGCCGCTTTAGCGAGCCTACTTTTCGAGCCTCCCGAGCCACAAATCATTGGAAAAACACAGTGTTTCGCGACTTTCCTACCTTTTCGCACACCTGGATCTTCTTTCTTCTTTCTTCTTTTCTCTTCTCTTCTCTTCTCTTCTCTGACTCTTCCCATCTGCGTTTCATCTGTCCATATTCATATTGTCGGAAGTTTGACCTCTAAACTTCCTTCGCTCACATATCAAAACGTACTTTTGTAACATAGACCCGGGCAAGCCGGCGGCGGAAGTTTCCCAAACATAAATGACCTATAGTTCAAAGACACCCTGTCCCGACCGTGTCCTTCCCTCGACGCTCCACACCTCACACTGCACACTGCACTCTTCGCACTCCAAACTTCAAACTTCACACTCCACACTTCACACTCCACACTTCTCACTTCTCACTGCTTCCTTCACACTGCAAACCTCACACTTCACACTTCACACTGCACACTTCACACTTCACAGTCCACACTTCACACTGCACACTTCACACTTCAGAGTCCACACTTCACACTTCACACTTCACAGTCCACACTTCACACTTCACACTTCACAGTCCGCACTTCACACTTCGTACTTCACAGTCCACACTTCACACTTCACACTTCACAGTCCACACTTCTCACTTCGCATTTCACACTTCACACTCCACATTTCACACTTCTCACTTCTCACTGCTTCCTTCACACTCCAAACTTCACACTTCACACTTCTCACTTCGCACTTCACACTCCACACTTCACTCACACTTCACACTTCACAGTCCACACTTCACACTTCTCACTGCTTCCTTCACACTCCAAACCTCACAATTCACACTTCACACTTCACACTGCGCTCTTCGCACTCCACACTGCACAGTCCACACTTCACACTTCTCACTTCACACTTCTCACTTCTCACTGCTTCCTTCACACTCCAAACTTCACACTTCGCACTTCACACTCCACACTTCACAGTCCACACTTCACACTTCTCACTTCTCACTGCTTCCTTCCCACTCCAAACTTCACACTCCAAACTTCACACTTCACACTTCTCACTTCGCACTTCACACTCCACACTTCACTCACACTTCACACTTCACAGTCCACACTTCACACTTCTCACTCCTTCCTTCACACTCCAAACCTCACACTTCACACTTCACACTTCACACTGCGCTCTTCGCACTCCAAACTTAAACTTCACACTCCACACTTCACACTTCTCACTTCCCACTGCTTCCTTCACACTGCACACTTCACACTGCAGTCTTCACGCCCCACACTTCACACTGCTCTAAACCTACGTGCAACCAAAAAACACTAGCGCCAAAATGGAGAAAATCTGCTAACAAATCCATTTCGCAGCCTTCATGCAGCCAGTCCAAGACGATTTACGAGATCCAGCTGCAAAAGACATTACGCATACAGCCAAAGCAAGAAGCAACCTTGACGCAGCCATTCCAATGCGATCTGCAGAGACTGAGTTGCAAAACACAATAGAACTACGCGCAACGGCGTCGGAAATTGTAGCTCCAAAACCGGATCTCGACGCCAGAGCAAAAAAAAGACGATTTTGAAGCACTTTTTAAAAGGATTTTTAGAAGGAAAATCACTAGCGCCAAAATGGAGAAAATCTGCTGACAAATCACTGTGGCAGCCTTCATGCAGCCACTCCAATACGATTTACGAAGTCGAGCTGCAAGAGACAATAGTATGACAAATGCAGCCACAGCACGAAGCAACCTTGACGCAGCCATTACAATGCGATCTGCAGAGACTGAGTTGCAAAACACAATAGAACTACGCGCAACGGCGTCGGAAATTGTAGCTCCAA